GTTGACAAGATGCGGATGACCAGGTCTCAAATCTCACCGGGGTGCCGATGAGGCAAGATCGAAACAGCAGCCCGATTTAGAGGAGAACGTTTTGAGAGGCAGGACTAAGTGAAAATCAAAAGAATCATTAGCCCTACATATAGCATCATGAGAAAACTTCATTGTCAGCTCAAAAAATCGCCTTAGCCGACCAAGGGAGAATGAGATCTTATTAAAGAGTTACTGATGGTTTCGAAACAAAAGCAGCCTGAAATAGAATTTTGCTCAACATATAAAACAAGGGCTAAAGTATCTGCAAGACAATTGCGGTTGTAAAGTTCACAAACGTCGATTCAAAAGTACAGTGGCCAGGAATTTTCGAGAGATAGAGGAAAAGATTTATATTCCTCAAAGTTAAGTTACAATGAGCTCCCTAATATTTTGCTAAAATTAAAAAGCTGTAACGAAGTTTATCCTGACTAAATAGGAATAACCGTGGGACGTAAAATCGAGCAAGTTATGGTGGAAAAGAGAAGACGAGAGCCCAACCTAAAATGAGTGAAACCTGATGGAATGGTACAGCCCATGATTACATGTTTTATAGTTTCCATGAAAAAATGAAAAAAATAAATATTAGGCAGGATGTTAGCAGGATGGAAATTATCATGAATACTAGTACCGAGAAAAAAGGACTGATTATGTTCCACAAGGTCTCTCTATCGCCCCGATCAAGTGGCGAAACTGAGGCCAAACAAATGCTATACACCGAAAAGAAACTCCGGCCAAACCTGAGGCCACACCATATTAGTCTTCCTATCTAATATCTTTGATAATCAAAGCCACTGGGAGAACCACACTAGTCAACTTACCGGCATATGTGGCGATGGACGGAAATGTAGTCAGCATAGGCACCATGGTGGTGGATACGCCGCAGATAAGCATGCAAATGATGTATAGAAGCAGAGTGTCTACACCTTCACAATCAGCCAGGCAACCGACCAACACCTCGCCAATCATGTTGGCGACTCCAAGCACCGATAAGAGGTAGGCGGACAAGACATCTGAGATGCCTGCTTGCTGCTCGGCACGCAGGCTCATAAAGAAGAAAGTGACATTGTACCAAAAGAAGAGAAGCCCGTTGGAGGCGAGGAAGAGACAGAAGGCCGGACTGCGGAAGACGGTCAGATCTAGCATCTTGGTGAGGATGTCGAGTCGTACTTTGGTCATACTAACCGACAACAAAGAGCGTGTTCGTCGCAGGCTTCGCTTCTTCCGCCCGCAGGTAACGCGTGACTGTCGAGACCGAGAGATCCTGTCGAGTTCCGTTGGTTCTATAGAAAGTTGGGCTACTGTATTGCAGCTTATGGGAATAAGCGGGTGCGAGGAGGCAGTGGACGAGATAACGACACCCGGAAACAAGGAAGATGTCATACCAAATAAAAATGCTTTATTTATGGATGAGTGAGAATCAGTGGCATGATTCCAGGATCTGGATAAAAGAGATCGGAGGAAGTGACAATAGCAGCAGCTGATGGCTCTGGCCCCGAAGACATTGCCACACCAAGACCCCTCTGCAGGTGACACGGAAAAGCTGTTACCTGTGTTGGTTTCTGATATGGATGACTTCATGGAGGAGGACAGTGAAGAAGGGCACCTCATGCATGCACAAAAAGGACGAATCATGCATTTTAACCAGATTGAGAGGAGAATGTCTGATATAGTTGTATGACGGCCGGCCGAAACCGAATCTGTCAACTCTGGCATGCTACAGGAGGCCAACAAGGGACGCCTGGGCAGGGGGTGACGACGAGGCTGCCTAGCGAAAGCGGCTGAGAGAGAACCGGGATAGAATGCATCCACTGGATCACAAGGGCCAGGCCTGGCTGACCGGGCCGGAAGATTGACTCGCGTTGAGAAGGTGCTAGTAGTTGCGAATGGTGAGCAGAGCTGCGTCTGACCCTCGAATTCTGATTCTTCATCCTCTTCATCATTCCTGTCATCCTCATCATAGCCACAAATCTTGTCGCGGCTCCTCGAACTTCGATAAACGGAGAGAATTCGTGATACTGAGGTGAGGCCATCTATCGACCTTGTAGCATCTGGTTCGGGATCGGGAGGGCAACCCATTTGGAAGCAAAACGGCCACTGAAACTTCGCTTCAAGCTGTTCATTTATTTGAAGCAAGCTCACCTTGTTACAAGTGTGGATAGGAGAGTCCACTGAAGGTCGAACGTGACATCCTGATACTTCGGGGTTGTCGGGCAGCACCTGGTCGGCTGGCGCATGTGACTGAAGAGTAAGAACTAAGTAAAGTTCGGGATCCGAGTGGCACCTACTAGCTTGCATGGAATCGAATGGCAGAGCATTCAGGTTTAAATCGGATAATATGCGTAGCTTAGAAAGCGAATTAGGAGGGACGCCTGGAGAACAAATACTATTCTCTTTCTTGGCTAGTTCATCTAAAGACAAAGATCGATAGAGTTTTTCATTAGAGAGGTTTGGAAAGTCTTCATTTTCATGCATATTTGAGGAAGTATTCATGCCGTGATTCAGAAACGCCTGATGATGATGAAAATTGGTACCCTTGAAGAAATTTTGGCGAATATTTTGACAATTTGATTCATACGACTTTGACATCATAGGTGAGTAACCACGGTTTCGATACGAGGCAATAGTAAACAATCTTCTTCCGAGACCTCGTGAGGAGCAAGGGGTTTCGTTATCATGAATAATGGAAAGATTTCTTCGTGTGCGAAATAAGTTGTCGATGTAGGCAAATTTTTTTGTTGAATCTCTTACGCTATAAACATGTTTTGATAAATCATCTCTTCTTAAATCCATAGAATACGCAAATTTATTTTGATATTCAGGAGAAAGGTTAGTAAAAGATGAAAGAACTTCATCTTCTGGAATAGGCACTAAATGGGGCTTCTGAAAGTTAGGTCTATAAACATCGGAGTTGGCACCAATGTCAGATACAAAGCAAGCATTTGCAAAATGTAAAATTGAGTCGGATTCAGGAGAAGCATCTCTGCAGGTCTGACTTGTGGGGATTCCTTCCGGTATATTTGGCAAAAGTGTCTCTTCTACAGTATCTTGGTTAGGCGATTCACG